ACTCGTGAACTTCAACTCCCAGAATTCCTGAGCCAGCCATGCTGAGGGAAAAGGGAGAGTTTCCAAGCTGAGCCATGCTGGCTCAGGAATTCTGGGAGTTGAAGTCCACGAGCCATAAAAGAACCATGGTTGCCTACCTCTGTCATAACCCCTCTGAAATATGCTGCCTCCTCTCTGGGAAACTGTGCACTACTGACAACAGCCCCACACTTCTCCTTCAGCTGCACACTGCATTTCACCCAGGAGGAGCAGCACCCCAACTCTGAATTTATTGTCTTTCTATTCTAGCCAGAGTTGTATTTTTTTTTTTTTAACTGTGGAATATCTCTTCCGAGATTTAATCAGGAAGAAACTTCTTATTTAGCTTTAGTTACTCCGAATGTGTGGGTGCTGACAATCTGACAATTTCTTCATGGTCATTACACAATAATACCAAACAGGCTGAAATTTTCTTATCTCGTCCTATAATCCGTTTGCTTGGCCAAATATTCTACAGTGGGGTAAAGGGCAATAAAAAACGACAGGCTCTTAAATAAGAACTATTTTCTACCTAAAGGAATTAGAATGTGTTTTTGTTGGGCTAAACTATGATTGATTACTACTTGGTTAGCATGATCAATTTCTAATCCTGCCTCAGTTTCTAATTCATTAAATAGCACTTGCTGAAAAAAGAGGTTTTTTTAACAAGGCAGGTATAGAAAACAGGGTGCTGTAAGGACAAAAAATGAGATATCATATCCTAGTATACAAGGATACTAAGATATAAATGCTAATATTAGTTAGTATTAGTATTAATTAATATTAATATTAATTAATACCTAATGTTAATGATGAAAAACATTTTAAAAGTTAAAATTAGAGAAGGCATAAGAGTATGCACAGTAGAGTCAGGTATATGTTTGGTGAAAGTTATCCTGCTACCAAGAACAAATGATTCCCAGATAATTAATTTCTCGCTTACTATTTGCACACTTGCTTAACTGTGAAAAACACTTCCCAAACATACCTGGGGCAGGTACCTTTCTGCTAAATGTGTTTTGTATCGCTAAGTTCTTGTAATCATCCATGCAAATAAGCAGGTTGAGTATGTTTAGGATTGACTTAGGGTCACAAATTGTAGGAAAAGTTTCTTTTTACATTATTTCAACTATGGCTTTGCTAAACTATGGAGACTGCACAAACTTTGACACAGCTGGGAGTGCAATTTAGAGAAGGGGAGAATAAATCAGGCAAGAGATGAGAAATGCTTAACCCAAGGATAGGAAGGGCTCTTTGAATTCTTTTAGGCTCAGATTTTCTTTGAGAATTACAATAAAAAATACAGTAAAAAATTACAGAGTTTCTTTTGTCTTACCGGTTAGTAATTAGAGAATTTTTTTTACACCAGGAAGTATTACCCAAAAAACTATGACCTATGCAAAATATAAGTAAATACCTTTCGTTTGCCCCTCGCATGTTGCTAATTTTACAATCAGTATCCTATCCCAGATTTTCCAGTTAAAACTTCAAGGGACTAAAGTTTATCTTATTTTAATCTGTATTCCATTTCTGGAGTACTTAAGCAATAGCACTTAGACTCATATACCGCTTCATAGTGCTCTGCAGCCCTCTCTAAGCAGTTTACTGAGTCAGCATATTGTCCCCAATAATCTGGGTCCTCATTTTACTGACCTTGGAAGGATGGAAGGCTGAGTCAACCTTGAGACCGTCAGGATAAAACTGCTGGCAACTGGCAGAATTAGCCTGCAATACCTCATTCTAACTACTGCACCACCTCAACTCTTCATTAAGGCATCTAATGAAAGCCATTTTGGTGATGATAGATAGATAGATAGATAGATAGATAGATAGATAGATAGATAGATAGATAGATAGATAGATAGATAGATAGATAGATAGATAGATAGATAGATAGATAGATAGATAGATAGATAGATAGAGAGAGAGAGAGAGACAGACAGACAGACAGACAGACAGACAGACAGACAGACAGACAGACAGACAGACAGATGGATCACTTCATAAAATAAATCAGTGATAGCACAAATCATTAATTCAACTCAAAAGTCTGCTGAACAGGAAAGATGAGAAGAACATGTTATGACTCTCTGAGCTGACATTCTTTCAATTCTTGCTCAATTCTGTTGTTTGTTGAATTTGAATCTCTACGTTTGGAGGAGTTAATGAAAACAAGATTGCTATTACTGAGGTGTTCATCACCATTCTCATTTCTTATACTATCTTTTAACCAGAAAAGTAAAAGCTAGTATTGATGGGAAAAATACACACAATGAAAGCTGATAATTGAGAGCAGGAAAAAAAATATCTAAATATAACTTTTGGATTGTAAAAAATACATTCATCCAGCAATCTCTCTGTTGAATCAAGAAATAGGGTCTTGTGTTAACTTGTATGCTTGAATAGATTTAATAGAGCCCCTGCTTGACTTGTTGTTTGCTTAGTTAAGATTTTTAATTTGTTTAATTAGTATTTTAAAAGCCTGTGAAAATTTGTGAATGAATATATGTGTGTGTGTTTGTGTATTTGTAAGGACATGTATACAGTGAATATTCAAATTATGTCTGAATCTGTAATCCTGACTCTGAGATTAGTGCCAAGAAATCATAATTTTACTAATGTAAATAAATGTAGTGGAGTATAGACTTTTAAATGTGGCTCCAGTATGTATACTCATGGTCATGACTCTCATTTTGCAGTTATTTTAATTAAGTCAGACTATAAAGTTAGTCTTGCATGGGGGATAAACACACTGGGGAGATGATGAAAGATTGATGGCTGCCCAGGCAATAAAACAAGTAACTCTGATGTTTTCTAACAAAATTGAGATCTATGTACATGCAATCAATCAAGCTTGGGTGATGGTACATATTTTACCAGTTTAAATACCTTGTTAGTTTATTTGGGGAATCAAGGAAGGGGTCTGATGTTAGCTATTTCAAAGTGATTTTCTACTTTAGTTTTTCAGCTTTTTGCTGTGGATGAATAGCAAAGGTACCCAAGTCATAAATTTTAATTAATATCTGTATCATTTTGGTTACTGCTAGCTTAGTAGAGCAATTAGTGTAATTAGTAAACAGCATAGCTTGGTGGCATGATAAATCACAGTTAGGAGCACGTTGTCTCTTCACCAGGATGATGTATTATCCAATTTGCTCAAATTTTATGTGTGCCCGAGGAAATCACAAAATAAAGAAGCATTTCAACAGCTGTTGGCAGTCTTTGGTGGCTCTTGGTCAGTCTTCTGTCAGTCTTCCCAAATATTCTTAATTAGTAAAAAATGTCTGCTAATTAAACATTTCATTTTTAACACTCGTGAATGTTATTAAGAACTTATACAGAAGGGACAGGAAAGGAATGAAACTTTTGAGACACTCGTGGATGTTATTAAGAATTTATACAGAAGGGACAGGAAAGGAATGAAACTTTTGAGACAAAGGAAATTGTAAGTTTGCACAATGGCCATCTTGTAGACCCCCACGTAGCAGTAGAAGGCATGTAGATCAGATTTCGGTATGTGAATACAAGAACTGAAAAATAAAATGTTCCATGGAAATTATTTATTTTGTGTTGGGAAAAAAAGGGGACACTATCATCTAATATAGTAAATTTGATAAATCCTGTATTCATTATGTTTATTGTCTTCACCACCTCATCCTGGTGGTGAAGATCTCAGGGGTTGCAGAAGACTCAAGCACTTTAGTGAATAGTGGCCACAGGTGTGGAACTAAATCATGTGTCTATCACTTTACTGACTGCATGGCTTAGCAACAATACTGTCAGTCTCCATTGTCTTCCTTCCAAGACTTGGGACTGGAACAGACAGCGCACCAATTGCACCCATTCATGGACTGGGAAGCCTTCATGCTTTAGTCACTTGCTGTTTGGTTTACAGCAATGCACTCTGCATGCAGCTGTCCCTGAAAATCATGCAGAAACTGCAACTAATTTAGAATGCAGCAGCATAAGCAGTTTTGGGTGTCCTATGGATCATCTGAGGAATACCACTGCTGTATAAGCTGCACTGGCTTCCAGTTGCTTTTTACCTTTTTTCAAGATGCTTTACCATCTTTAAAGTCCTAAGTTGCACAGAGTCAGGTTTTTAATACCCCCTAAGGGTATCTGCCCATATTATTAGGTTATTACGTGGGTGCCCTCCAGGCCCCTTTTCTTGAATGGGACCTTGGAGGTGCACCTTGTTAGTGGCCATCCCAGTCCTTTGAAGCAGCCTCCCACTATAAATCTGAGGGATCCTACACTTTAAACTTTCTGGAGAGCTGCAGAGACCTAGATCTTCTCCCAAGCATTGGGCTAGGGTGGGGAGGTTGAACTGTAAGGCTATTTCATCTGGTGCCTGGAGGGAAGAGTAGGTTTTTAATTATGTTTCTCTGGATTATTGTGAGCCTCCTAGAGCAGTGATGGCGAACCTTTTAGAGACCGAGTGCCCAAAACTGGCCCCAGCCCCACTCCACCCCCTGCCCCGCCCCCGCTCTGCCCCCCATCCTCCGTCACACGTGCCCACAGGACCACTCACTGGCTCCAGGGTCCACCGCAGATTGCCCAGGCAGCCCAGCAGCGCTATGATGGCCACAACCTCTGCCCGCGCCCTGCAGTATTAACTGCATGATGGGGTGTAAGGGCAGAGTCTTGTCTACGCTGCCTGGCTGCCATGTCCTTGGCTGCACCACCCTCGAGGATGACTCTCCTTCAGGGGGGCTGCTGGAGAGGAAGGGTTCATGGGGGCAGGCAAGGCTGGGGAAATGGCACGTATGCCCACAGAGAGGGCTCCGAGTGCCGCCTCTGGCACCCGTGCCATAGGTTCGCCACCACTGTCCTAGAGTGATTGAATGATTGAATGAGATAGTTAGAGATAAATGAGATAACAAGCAAACAAATATTTGAGATTCCATTTTATGCATGAATTCTGTGGCCCGATATTTTGTGTGTTGTTAATGTGACAATGTTATATTCTGTATTTTTAGAGCCTATGAGAACACCCAAGACTTTAAAAATTGCAGAAATCCAGGCACGTCGTATTGCCGTGGATTGGGAATCCCTAGGTTACAACATCACTCGCTGCCATACCTTCAATGTGACCATCTGCTACCATTACTTTCGTGGCCATAATGAAAGCAAGGCTGACTGCTTGGACATGGATCCCAAAGCACCGCAGCATGTTGTGAATCACCTGCCTCCTTACACAAATGTGAGCCTCAAAATGATTTTGACAAACCCTGAAGGACGGAAAGAGAGCGAGGAGACCATTATTCAAACGGATGAAGATGGTATGTTCAGTTTTGTTCCTTAGCATGGTTACTGTGATGTGTGGCTCTCCCACCATTAGTTTTCCATGTTTCAAATACCCTGGGAATTTTTTAAAAAATGTCATTTGGGGACAATATTTACTGTATGTAAATATCTTGAATCTAGTTTTTTAAAACTCCTTTCTTTTAAAGTGATGTAGTTCTAAAGCTCAAAATCACATGACCCTACCATAACTACAGTTGCTGTTGTTAAGTAAATCTGTGGTGGTTAACACAATGTCACATAACTGCAGCTTGTGAATGAATTCCTACCATTTTCTGATTGACTTTGCTTGTTGAAAGCTGCACTGAAGGTTGCAAATGATCATATCCCACCCCAATACTGAGACCATGATAACTGCATGCTGGTTGCCAAGCATGCAATCACAATCACATGACCCCAGGGATGCTGTGAAAGCCACAACTTCAAGGAGTAGTTGTGAGTCTCCTCATTTCGCACTCTTGTAACTTTGAATGGCCACTGAAGGAGTGATTGTTAAGTGAGGCTACCTGCATATATTTTTATGCTATTCTACTACCTCAATAATTATAACTGCATGCACTGAGATTGCTGACTTAAAATAATCTTCATTTTATTCTGCTTACAATATAGCTTTATTTATCATATTTGAGGAGAAATAAAGGATGCTTTAAATGTTTACAGAGCTCATTAGTGATTATCTTTATGAATCTTAATTTCAAGCAAATTAAAACAAAATTAAACATTCCTAATTAGATGGAAACGATAATATATGAAAGTAGCTTAATTGCATATAGTAGATTTGTAACTAGCTGCATATTCACATTGCAAATATGCATATTAAAACTGTTGTGCACAGATTTTCACATTATATACCTCTGTGAAAACCCAACCGGGATATCTTATTAACATCAGCAGAGAAGGGCAGTAGAAATGCTTTCTTGAAATAAATTCCAGAAACTTAAACATCAAGGGATTTCAACTAAAGTTAATGTAGTGTCCAGAGAGACAAATCGGGATTTGAAAAGTTGAAAACCAGAAGTAAACCGTGAAATGCATTGATTGTGATTTACAGCAATGTCTGGTTCAGTAAATCTTTGGTATACAACTTCCAGAAGCCAAAACTACCTAGAAATCTTAACATAACAGAAAAGAAAGCAGCTCTAAAGTATAGTTTGTCTGACTGGAAACTTATACAATTATTGATCTCCCCCCATGATTTGATATGGTATACAGGTAAGCCAGAGGGATAGAGAATACGGGCAAGTGAGCATATATAATTTGTAAATCTGGACTGAAATTTAAAAAAAAATAAAATAACTTTCATATGTATTTTAGTGTTCATGATCCATGCATTATGTTGCCTTGTGAAGCAACAGCCACAGTTTATGAGATTAAAGCAAGCTAGACAACATCATAAATACTGCCAGTAGTCAGTATTGACTGATAGCTAAGTGCTACATCCTGCATCAATGCAGCAGCATGTTTATCATTATCAATTATTCGGGGGAAAAGAACCAGAGTAGCCCAGTGACTCATATTCTCTTTAAGACTTTCTCTGGGTTTCTGCTTGGCCACTATGGAAACAAGTTAGAGTTAGATTATTCTGATCTGAACCGGGAAGGGCTTCTATTCTTAACTGGAATGTCGTACTTCAATAAATTTCCCAAATAAAGTGGTTTTATATTAATAATAAAGTATCATAAAAGAATTTCATAATCCCCAGAAAGCACTATTTTACTTTTATTAACTGAAAGTGAGTGACAGTCATTCAACTGGGACAAAGTAGACCATTTTTCTGAGATAAGCCACTGAAATATACTCAGAAACATACTTCCACTTGGGTCACTTTTGGTTTATTCCACATATGTCGTCATATATAGCAGGGGTCCCCAATTCTCAAGCTGTGGCCCACTATCGGGCCGTGGCCCATTCAGAACCAGGCTGCACAAGCAGCAGATTAGCGCACATTCACACAAATGGAGCTGTGCTCAGGTGTGCATGTGCGCCAGCCGCTCACACGGAACCACTCCCCTCCCTGTGCCGAGCCTGCTGATACTGTATTTTTCCGTGTATAAGATGCACCCTTGTATAAGATGCTGTGGCATGCGAGTTTCAAGCTTACAGCAAACAAAGTCAGTGCTGGGAGCAACCGCCTCCCAGCGCTCTAAATAGACACCTCCCAGCCGGCCCCACCCCCCACCCACCTAACCAGCATCTGGCACGATGAGCATGCATAGTCAGTTCACAGAAGCAGCCTTACGACCCTGGTAAACAAACTGGCATGAGCACCGACATGACAATAAGGCAAGGGAAGCGAAGGCAGGTTTTAAACCCCCCGCCATTTCTCTGCACCAATCAGCTATTCGGCGGAGTGCCAAACAGCTGAGCCGGCAAATCCGGAAGTTTGGCCAGCCGCTATTATCAAGCAGGACGGCCTCGCAGCTGCATTCCACATTAGCAAGCGGCACTAGCAAGTGGCCGGAAGCCGCACCTGATTTTTGAACAGGGTGTTTGCATACAGGTACGAGGGAGGGAAAGGGCTGTTGCTGCCATCCATGCTGCTGGTCCCATCCGCTGTCTCCGGAGGCCACCATCCGACGAACTTGCCCCATCCCCCCTCCCGTTAGTGGCAAGCCCACAGGGGCTTGACACTTGCACCAGGCGGAATTGCAGCGGCATGTAAAGAACCCACACAGAAACCATGCCCTGGGCTGTGGAGGTTACCATTTTTTTTTTCATGTAAAAGACACTGCACTTGTATAAGACACACCTGATTTTTGAACAGGGTGTTTGCAGGAAAAAAATAGCGTCTTATACATGGAAAAATACGGTATGTAGTGTTTTTAAGGTCACTGAATTTCATGGAGGAAGTAACATGCTAATAATATCCCAGCTCCCAAAACTGATCAAAACAAATAATCAGTAGCAGTGGGGGATGATGATCATTACCCCTCATTCTAAATGATTCCCCTGTTCTTCTACAGTATGATTGACTTTCAGTGACTTCCTCGGGCAGAGCAAGCGCAACATTATTGAGAAATGAAACTAAAACATGTACGTTTGTGTCTGTGTGAGTGAGGGATGATGGAGGATTTGAACTCATTGCATGCCTAAAGTGCAATCCAATGTGTCCTTTCCAAAACCTCTATGAGCAGAGATTGATTAAAAAAAAATCAAAAGCATGAATAAGCTAAGCAATGCAAAACAGAAACAGTTGCTTCAAAACTATGAACTATTCATTTTGTACATGAGATGAATGGCAGACATGGTTCAAGTCCTTGGATTGTTGGTACCTGAGAAGTTCGACAATGGACATACTTGTTTGTGAACTCTGATATATATATATATACTGTCAGAGTGCATCTGACAGTTCATCTCCTGGATGGTTCATAGCATTTATCCTGCTTATATAGGGTCCATTTGTTTCACATTGTGCTCACCTAGTTGTCACAGTAAAACTATCAATGCATGATGCAATGAAGGGCTTTGTTTTTCAGCCGGTTTGTCACAGAGTCTGACAGTGATTAAGGCTGAGAGAGAATGACTGGCCCAAAGAAACACAGTTGGCTACTGTGCCTAAGGGAAGACCAGAAATGGCTCTCTGTGCGCCTAGTCCAGCAGTTTAACCATATACAGTACTATACTAGCTCTCAGTTAATCTCCTGGGTACAGGATCAAAATGTCTTTAAAATTATGTGTCTGCATTCTTCCAATTTCTTTTCTCTTAATGTACTTTGTGGCTTGAGGCTACTTTGCATTTACCTATCTGTATCTATTATTTATGCCTCACAGCTTATAGTAAAGAAAGGTGCATCTACCCTGTACTGTTGTGCTGTTTTCCATCCTTTTCATTTTCACTAGCAAAATATTTGAATGTCAAAAGATAGAATATGAGCCAGCTGCAAATTCTTTTCCCCATATTCATATGAAGAAATGTGGAAATATGGGGAAGTACATAAATGATCTGCAGTCCTAGCATTGCCAACTCCAGCTACTTAAAAACCTCTGATTTATATACCTACAAATTTTGTAATACAAATGTGGAACTTCATATATTTGCACACTGGGTTTTCAAATGCTCTTCTGACAGCCTCATACTTTCATCTAGCATATTTCTGTGAATAATTTGCTGTAGTTGAATCCAGATGTATAAAATAATGACTCTTCAGTAGAGGAGACGGAGAACTGAAGCAGTATTGTCACAGAAGATGCACGAACACTACTTCAAAATCTGATGGAGACAAAACAAGACCACATAATTTGCAGATCTTTCTCTTTTATTCAGTTTTATAAAGGCAGAAATAAGCAGTTTGGGTATAAGCCAAGCCTCATTCAGAGGAGTCAAGTTTCATTTTTCACTGGCTTTATTGTTTGTTTATATTTTTTCCTGGCCATTTTTCTGCCTCTCAGCAGATATCCTGGTGTAACCTAAACCAATGCTGACTGGGGAATTCTGGGATTTGAAGGCCACATGTCTCAAAGTTGCCAAGCTTGTAAAACACTGACCTAAACTAAAAGAACAAAAAACAAGCATTCCCCACTTCTAGACCTGCATTCTCAAAAGCATTCTAAGTAACAATATGAGGTGTGCCTTAAATCTGTGTTCAATATGAGGTGTGCCTTAAATCTGTCCCCAACTGTCCCCATTTCCTCATTCTATTCCTATTTATTGCTCTAGGTTAGGGGTAGGCAACCTTGGTTCTTTTATGACTCGTGGACTTCAACTCCCAGAATTCCTGAGCCAGCTATGTTTAACTGGCTTACTAAGGGAGATTCTGATCCCAATTGTGGTCTAAGTCAAGGGCTACCTGTAGCTGAATATACCTAAATATTCTGCTAAGCACCAGGCCAGGGGTAGGCAACCTTGGCTCTTTTATGGCTGGCTCAGGAATTCTGGTAGTTGAAGTCCACGAGTCATAAAAGAGCCAAGGTTGCCTACCCCTGCTCTAGGTATAATGGCAGTGAAAAAAATGATGTATGAACGTTTTTCATACATATGACTGTTGCGCTATTGCCATGGTCATGTGTTCCGGGTCTCCTGTGATCACCTTTTGTGACCTTCTGACAAACAAAGTCAATGGGGAAGCCAGTTTCACTTAACAATCGTGTTACTAACTTAACAACTGCAGTGATTCACTTAACAACTGTGGCAAAGTTTGTAAAAGGGGGCAAAACTCACTTAACTGTCTCGCTTAGCAACAGAAATTTCAGGCTCAGTTGTCAATAAGTCAAGGACTATCTGTAATGGATTCTTTCAAGTTACTGCTTTTTGTTAATGCAATGCAATTAAGTTCCTAAGTACACCAGCAAGGCAATGGAACCAAAAATGTGATTGGCTGTGAAGATGGATTTCAAATGTTAATTTGCATGATAACCAGTTTTTGCTTCACTGCTGGATTCTAATTTCATTCTCACTGCACAGTGATGATTCCCAATCCTTTGATTTTATACCCAGTCCCAAAGTCCTGAATGTGCAGCCTTGGTGGCTAAATTTGTAACAAATGATCCAACGTTGCATATAATAATAATAATAATCAGGGCTTTTTTTCTCGGAGAAAAGGTGGCGGAACTCAAACCTGGCCACGCCCTCATCAAACCCTAGGACCGCCCCTTTAGAGAACAGGAATGCAAGTAAAATTTGGGAGGGGCTATTTCCGTTGCGGCCGGCCCGGAAAAAGGTGCCGGAACGCGGTTCCGCCGCGTTCCGGCTGAAAAAAAGCCCTGATAATAATAATAATAGTAAAGTTGGAAGGGACCTTGAAGGTCATCTAATCCAACCCCCTGCTCAGGCAGGAAACCCTATACCATTTCGGACAAATGGCTGTCCAGTCTCTTCTTAAAAACTCCCAGTGTTGGAGCATTCACCGCTTCTGGAGGCAGGTTGTTCCACTGGTTAATTGTTCTCACTGTCAGGAAGTTTCTCCTTAGTTCTAGATTGCTTCTCTCCTTGATTAGTTTCCACCCGTTGCTTCTTGTCCTGCCTCCAGGCGCTTTGGAAAATAGCTTGACTCCCTCTTCTTTATGGCAACCCCTGAGATATTGGAA